AAAAAAAAAAAAACACGTAAAAAATACACGAATTAAGAAATTCGAAACTATATAGGAAAAAAATCAAATAAGATAAAAGTACAGAAATTTGATTTGTGCACGTTGCTCGCACTTTCTCTTTTTCATGTGGAGTTAAGGAAAGTCATGTCATTTCTCGTTCTCGTCATGATCCGTCACGCTGACTCACGGATCAGCTAATTAATCTGCAGTAAGAGAACAACGGGATAAAAAGGAGTGGAAGGACAACTTTTGCAATGTCCATGTGACTTTTGCTCATCGTCATCTTTGTCCGATTAAACGAATCGAGATATCGCCTCGTGATGCGATTACGGGTCCACCGTCGCATCCCCGGTACACGCGTATATCGATCGAAATAGTGTCACGCGTGTCCTTACGGATGGTGAAGCGTTTTACCCCTGTCGCCGGGAATTAACGTCACCTCCGCTCTCGGATGGAGGGAATGGTCGAAAAAAACTTTTCGTTCATCCTTGATTTTCTGAGTGAATACGCACCAAAGAGATTTTAAGGACAGCGCGAAATGGATGTCATTTAAATCAAAATTCATACGTTAATATTTTTTACCAGAATAAAATAAAATAAATAAACCATGTATACATACATGCAATGAAAACTATATTTCATCCTATAGTAACGATTCGCTAAAAATTTCGGAAATAATATAATGTAAATTATTTAAAGATACAAAATGAGACAATAATAAACTAAAAATACGTTACGCACAACTATCACGCACATGATGAAAAATAATAATATCGAGATCGTTTCTTAACCGGAGATGCACATTTGGGGATGAGCTGCGTCTTGGGAATGAAATCGAGCAGGCGCGCGAAGAAGAAGTAGCTCGATATTTTAATAAAGAATATTGCGAGGCGTCGCTCACTTACTTAGTCACACCGAGCGATTACGATAAATTAACAGCAGCTTATTTCCTTCCAGAAGAATATCCAAGAGAAGATCCTTGCCGCCCCCGTTTCCTTCATCCACGACCTTTCTTACGGCCTTTAATTACCGATTTAATTAGTTGAACGTTTCGGACGATACTCTATCACGAGATTATCCATTAAATGATTTTAATTTCAATTCGCGAATCTCTTTATCGTCGACATCATGCGACATTGTTTCAACGTTTAAAACTTTTTAATAAACGTCATTTCATAACTGCTACAACCTTACTTTAACAAATTAATAATTAGGTTTAAAAATGCTTCATGTTTTTAATTCATTCCATATTTTTATGACAAAAAAAATTTATATACGTTGAAATATAAATATGTTCAAATAGACATAGCAAATATTTAATTCGACAGTAATAAATAATCATTATATCATAGATAAAACTAGATTTTTCATATTGAATATTAAAATTAGGAAAAATACGGCTATTATATCCATTTACGGAATACTCGCGACTGAGTTTAAGCGTACAAACAATATGCATAAGAGTATCCAAAAAGCGTCACCTAAAATATGCTGAAATGATGCATTATGCATTTCACGATAAAATATGAATTTATGCGCGCGTTGAGGTGGCCCCGGTAATTCTGACTAACGCTCATGTTTCTGTTTTCTTGACATAACACATAGTTTCTCTGTCTGCGGGATTTCTACATGTGATTTGATTTAAAAGAGTATCCTGAATATTTCGCAAGTTGTATATGCATAATACGTTTTATCAATATAATTTTTAATGTTTGCTGCCACATAGTTAATAGTATTACTTATAAATAATTCAAATATAAATTACGTTTTTTAAAATGCAAACATATACATATATAAATATATCTTACTTCGTCATTTTTATATATTATATTACAAATTATGAAAATAAATTAAATCAAATCAAAAATTAAAATTAAATGAAAGTTTATAAATGAAAATAATAAAAACAAGAGCAATGTAGCATTAGAGAGTCGATAAATTGTCATTATCACAAAAAATTTCTAAATGTATGCGAGATATTTTAGAGGCGCTAGCAACTCCAAATTAGTGTCACGTCAGTCAAGCTTAAGCGAATGCGCTAAACCAACGGCAAACACTCACTTTTCATGGCAATAAAACCGGGAATTACCGTTGCGCATGCGGGGATAAAAAATCTCGGATATATATCATCCGATACTCGGAACATGTCACCACTTAACCTTCACCATTAACCACTGTTCTCCACTTTCAGTGGTATCTCGATCGCACTGTACTGTAATCGACTACCATATAAATGGCAATGATTAAACGACAATACGATGTTAAAGTTATATTTTTCATATATAACGCGCTGTGTTTGATTCATTTCCTAGATAATTCAAGTTTTTTATTTTTTACGTATATATTGAATTTATTTTATAATTACACATACGCGCATACTGATGTTACTCTATTTGCATAAAAAACAAAATATATTTAATTTTTTTTTTCTTGTGCGTGCCCGTGTGTTTGTGTATGACATCTACAATTCACCATTTAACTAGAAAACTTGGCGATGCGGCTGACAATGAGAGTCACTGGCTTAAAGCGTCAGATACCGGTGCATTCACCTTATGAAAGTCATTAATCTTGAGGGACGCAGAGCCGGCCAATTAACAGGGCGGAATCAGGGAACGGCTAAGATAGATACTGATTCCGATCGATTTCGGGCTTAAGTCGGGAGGGATGCCGCCGCAGTGGCTGCAGCGGGTCAAGTTATCGATCCGTCTGTTCATTCTCGCGAATTCGGCGTGCCGGTCGGCCACGGCGGTCCATCGATCCCGCAAATCCAGCTACCAGATCGACTTGCGCGTTTGCACGAATTAAGCCCACGAGCTATGCTCATCTTGCTGTCCACAAATCTCCTAAGACCCGTCGGGCCTTTCGCCAGCTGCTTGCCAGCGCACCTGATGCGCCAATGCACACGCGGCTGTATCGCGTTGCATCAAGGCTACGATACCGGAAATGATAACGGTGACGAAATGTGACAAAATCATCGATATGCGAATCGAAATATCGAATCTTGAAAGGTTCAATTTGTAAACTTCGATCATGCAAATATAAACTTTGCTGCTGTATTTAAAAATAAAATTTTGCAAACTATTTTAAACTTGCGTTATTTTCAAATCACACTATTTCTCATATGTGAATAATTAAATGTGTGAAAGAAAAATTGAATAAAGAGTTTCTTCGAGCTGCATGAAAAACATTTAAAAATGTCAGATTTTTTTCTTAATGAATATCGGATCAAATTCACTCGTTATTTTTCAGACTATGAATATAACCCTCCTTATACATATAACGACTACAAATAAAATAATGTTAATTTAATCAAAATAAATCAGTTGAAATAACCTCATAAATTTTAATGATTGTAATGAATCAAACTAAATTGCAATCAATATAATTAAATTAAAATTACTCTTACCGAAATTGCTTCGATCAAATTACCTGTTATTATTATTTTTTCATTACGCGATTCGCCGCGAATTACCGATGCAACTAGACGCTATTTAACGAAAATTAATTATGCATTTCGGATCTGATTATCGACGCGAGCAGGTCGTTCCTCACGTTAATTATGCTTTCATTCGTCCATCCTCTCTTGGGAATATTCGGCCATGGCATAAGTCGAAAATAAGTTTTCATTTCAAACATGAAATTCATTCAAATTCGTGTTTCAAGTTTGATCGTGTTGATTCTTTCTTATTTGCGTTTTAAGTGAAACAAAGCAGTGGCGCACAATTTATGCGCGAGTAATCTTTCTGGCAGATCTTAGGTACTTTCGCATAGAGGTGCGAAATTTAATTGCATGACTAATGGCATTCGCGCGTATAAAAATTCAATATCATCAATCCTTTCGGTTCTTCAAAAACTTACGCCAATCACCCAATAATTTCATCACTGTGGTATATTTTTTTCTCCGGAACTATAATTTGAATAACACAATATGAAAAAAAGAAATTTATCGAACAAATGTCAGAACCTGAAAAGATCAAAGATACAACGATCGCGGCAATGAAGATGGCTGGTGTGCCTACCTTGGTCGAATACAAGGCAGCGGGTGGTCTTGGCAGCGAGTCCCGGGGGCAGAGCGAACCTGTAGGCCGGGCCCGGCGACAGCCCCAGCCCCAGACCGAGCGCCTCCGCGCCGCATCGGCCCCCGAACACAGGCCCCACTAGAATCACCCATATAACAGTGGTCATCAGTCATCGTCATCATCAAGATAAAGAGACACAGAGAATTATCATCAATTAGCAAAGAGCTTATCATGCACAGAGGAAGACATCCGACACCTTCAGGCTGGTAAACTCTACACATGACATTAAATTGTAGAATAAAACAAGATCTTTTATCGAGGCCTGAAAATCCCGAGAAGTCCTTCGCCCCGATATAATCATTCTCAGTTAATGGAGTCCTTTAGTAAAGCTTCCCAATATATTAAATTGAGATTTATGTAAGATATATTCATTGAGTTATATTTGTGTTATGCTTATACGGCTTAATAATTAATATTAATGATAATTATCGATAAACAATAAGTAAGTAGGTATAAAAATAATAAGTAAGAATATTTCAAAAATCGTGCACAGTAGGATTAGATAAAGAAATAATATTAAAATTTTAAGAATCGAGATAGAGATACAAATTATTTCGCATTTGCAGTCGTCTTCTATAAATCGTAAGATATTAAATTAAAAACTCCCATAAAATTATATACATAGAAACTGCTTATATATAATACTATCAATAAATTTATATTATTTAAATCATAGGATATTAATTTAAAACCTCCCATAAAATTATATAAATTGCTAATATATAATATTAATCTATTAATATATATTTATATAATTGATTTTCTGCCAAATTAATTTTTTTATTTGCTACTTGATATTTTTGAAATTTATAATTTTTAATAATCAAGAGTCCCGGGTAGTTTATAAAGCTTCCCGCGCTCGCTCGATTCAATTACGCCTCGTACTCGTGCGACTCGTATATCCCTAAATACACGAGGCGAATTAGCGAGCAGGATCAAAAGATGGAGCACCAATATGCCCTCAAAGGCCCTCGTCGTTTTGCCTCCTATAAACGTAGGTGGCTTTATTATGATCTCATATAGATATTACCGCGCGCGTTGTCATTACAAGAGATAAGTTCCCGAAGGAGTTTATTGCTTTTTAGTATACACTCAGCACGTGCCGTGCGACAACCCGCTGTAACCCTAGTGTAATCGTCTATGCTTCTGTCTCTCCTCTCTCCGCCCATCGAAATTCATACTCGGACGAATCGACACATGCATATCAGTTAACCAAATTTTCATTTCGTGTGCATGTTCAAAGTTATATTAGAAAATTTTGAACTAGCCGCAGAAATTGTAGACAAGCAGTGGAAGAAGCAATTAAAAAAAAACTTGTATAAATCTCTAATTATAATAAAATTATACATAATTAATAAAAAAAAAAAATGGTTTAAAAGATGGACAAATTCATAAATGAAAAAATGGAAAGCATATATATATATATAAATATTCAAAAAAAATTGATAATCCTATAATATTTTATCAATTATTATTATATGTTGCAGCATAATAAATATTATTTTATTATTCTTAATTTAAATTAAGTACAAATCAGATAAGAGAAACTCTATTCGTATAGTTTCCTGTATGAAATTAATGATAAACAAATATAAAACATTAAAAAGAACAAAACAAAGAAGTAAAGAATTTAATTCGTTCAGCATTATATCTTGATGTCTTGATTTATCACACCTTCCGCGCGAAATTTTTTTTTTCTTTCAAGAAAGCAAGATCATATGCCAAAAGTCGCTTTTAAATTCTATTCGAATCTTAGAAGACGGAGAAGAGGAAATACGCACAATACCGGGACTATAATCTAAATTCATGTCTGACGGGATCCCGGAGCGGATAAGTACATCGAGCATAATGGCAACGACTTAACATACTTTTTAAATTGCGCCTTTGAGATGCAGAACGGTGGCCTACCGTTGTGCGGGGGCGAGCCCCTTCTTCGCTCTTTCTCGTTCACTTTTGGCCTTTTGGCTTTAGTAGCTTACACGCTGATTAAGACACCCGATACAATTAGGCGGCGAAAAGAACCTCAAAAGACGCGCGTGAGGGGAAGCCGCCGACCTTTGCATGCTTATGGACGTGTGTGTGTAACGGGTGTACGAAATATTAAGATCTCATTAGACGGTATAAAACGAAATATAATTTTTCTTTTTCTTGAATATACTTTTCAAAAGTCTCTCAGAAGATAAGAGCTTTCACCGAGCTTTCACTTTCACTGAACGATAGAACTGTCGCTATATAAGTTTTTACATTTTAGAATAAAAAATAAAAAAAACTATTTTTTATTTGCACTTATTTTTTGTCAAAAACTAGGTTTAAAATTTTTAAAATATTAAAGATCTAAAAAATGCGACAATCTTTTTATACCTACGAAAAAAAGTCGTAATATTTTCTTATAGATCGAATCTTTCCTAAATAAATGCTTTTGTTCTTACATGAGCAATACATATGTACCAATTATCGCATTATCCGAAAAAGTTAATGCCAAAAGATTAATTCCGCGCGTTCAGTCGGAGCCGTCAAATAAACGAGCGATGACGAGCAGTTGCGGGTTTCTACGTCACAAACGATGACGGACCAATGAGCACCTCGAAAAAGGTGACGCGCGTCATTCCACGCCGATCGATCGTCACTCGGTTTCGCGAAATGATCACGCTCGATGATCCGCATTGACGGCCGAAAAACTCCCACACATGTCAAGCACGATCATGCAGCATGATCGAGTATTATCCCGTCGCGTTCATATCGCTTTCGAAAACCATGTAATTCCGACAAGTTCATAACGGAAATCTTGCGAACGAGTTACTGGAAAATGGTGAAAATTTATGAACTACGTATGTAGCTACAATCGACGAACTGAAAAACCTACTACATCACAAAAAAATAAAAAAAGACCGTATATAGATTTCCCATAAAAAATTATATCAAGACCCAATTTAATTAGTTAACAAAATTTTATATTTGGTACAGAAATATTATACAACATAAGTATATATATTAAATAAATTCTTCAAAATATATATTTATATAAAATTCATAATCGTCGAATTTTTGGATCTCATTTCTTTAACTTTTAACTGACGCGTTCCAAATTAAATAAATTTCAAGTAAAAATATTTTTAACGCAATAATAATATATATTAATAATCAATTTCCTCGTTGGAAAAATACCAATAAAAAAATTTAATATGTGCGAAATATATTTTGATAAAGATTATATTCTATGTTTTGTTTTTTAATATGAAGAAGTAAAGAAGCTTTATAAAATGGACACCCCATAGACGAAATCAGGTGTTTGGCGCGACGAATCGGCTCGTTTAAGCCGCGCTAGTCAAGTCGACGATGAACGAGTCGGACTTTGTTAACGTTAATCCTCGTGCGGGACTACCGTGCATGCTCAGCTTCACGGCCGAAAAGAGTCGTCTCGCCAATTATAAGCATGAAAATCTCGGAGATAATCGGGAATTACCATCACCCGTCGCGTACAACTGCTTTTAGCGTCTTCAGTTACGACTTGGCGAATGTTTTAATCGTCTGTTATTAGATTGCGCGACACAATTTTTACAGATCGCATGTAAAAATCGGTTGTCGCTTAGAAAATTATGTATAGACTCGCTAGCACAGAATAATAATTATTCTTAATAATATTCCGAGTTTGTAAAATAAACAATATATATATTTTCAACTAGAGTGATATAATCATTGCCGAAGAATTATTTCGATAGATAAGCAACACCAGGCTTTAAAAAAAGTAAGAGAATATGTATATTATTATTTTTTATTATCTTAGATGCCGATATAAAAACATTACTCTCTTTTGAGATTTAAATTCTGGAGTAATCCTGTACACTATACTTAACGTCTGCATTGTGGCTTTAACATGACTGAATATGGTCGCGCATCGCGGTCAAGCTTGACCGGAGTCTGTGACTCGAAGTGTGTCTACCTGTCTACCCGGTGGATCGACGTCGATCGAGGACGCTAAAGCCGCGCACATGAATGAAGAAGCGAGGAAGGCGACGACTGCCGTACATGGCGCACGATACGATCCCGGGAGCCGTGCGATTGCCGGTGAATCGTCGCAGCTGACGGGCGATTCCTGCGATCTTAATCTGGCTCGCTCGCGCAAGAAGGGAGATCTGGCGAGCGGCCGGGAAAAAATCGCGGGGGTACCATCGCGGTGATCGAGCGGACCGGAATCCGTCTGTCTGTCGGTCGCGCGGCCCCGACCGGAGATCAAGACACCCTGAATAATTCATCGCCGGGCTCGAACGCGGGGTCCCACGACAGGCCGCCTCCCTGCGCGCCTACCCTTTTCCCTCAACGCGATGCCGAAAGCGAATTTACACACTACGCTTCTGACGATTATCCCGAATGAAAAAAAAAAAAGCACATAAGAATCGTATTTCGTGTAGCAACAAAAATAATTATCCTCTGAGAAAAATATTAAAAAGATAAATCAGTTTACTTTTTCTTAATCTTAAATGATAATCTGTAATGAGAAATAGGTAGATAATAGTTATTTTTTCATTAATCAATCAAGATCAAGTTTTACGTATATAATGGAAACGCATCTCGAGACGCATACGCATAAAGAGATGCGATTGTCCCCACATGGGAGCATATAATGATGCGAGAAAGAGGAAAATGAGAAGGATAAGAAGAAGAAGAAGAGCGAGAAAGCTCGAGACTTGAAACGAGAAAGAGTGGATTGGGTTGCAGCGAGTTAACCGGCTCAGTACTTGGCGTGAGATCCTGTTATACAACGATGTCAAACTGACGATACGATGCACGAGAGGCGAGACACGAAGCGAAACGAGTTGGGAGAATCGAGGCAGAAGTAAGAAAGAGCAGAGCAAACCCCTCCAAAACACTCGTGATTATTAAGGATAATCTGTTGGAATATGCGACAATATAGCCCCTGTGCGATACACATATACAATGTAATCCTATATAAATTTTTTAAATCCTATTAATTAACCCGCATTATACCGAGAGTTACAATGTTAACTTAGCCTTATGGGAAATATGAAGAACTTAACAAGAAAAATCAAATCTTTAATCAATTTAAATATGCGACGACA